ATACTGGACCCTTAGATCTGAGATGGAAAAGAAGAATTAATAAGGATAAAAAACTGGGCTGGTTATATAGTTCAGCAGCAGGAGTGCTTGCCTAGGGTGTATAAGGCCCTGGGTTCCATACCTAACGTTACACACACACACACACACACACACACACACACACACACACACACAATTAAAAAATGTACTTATCAGCTCTGTACCAACACAGATCACTCATGGTCAAAGGCTTACCTCCATCTGTACTGTATTTTCATCATAATCTCCACATGCTTCTGTTATGGCCCAGCTCCTGCAATGTATCCATTTGTTCATATCCTTTCCTCTAGAGCAAACTCTCCCATGGCGGAGGCCTGTCCTACTCATTATTATAGGTTGAACTTGGCCCTCCCCAAGTTCACAGACTGTGTGTTACAGCCCTAACACCCAATGTCTGTGTATTTGGAGACAGGGCCTGTGAAGAGGTTATTGAGTTTAAATGAGGTCATAGAGTGGAGTTGTAGTTCAGTACCATTGCTATTCTTACAAGAAGAGATACCAGGAGGGTGCCTGACCACAGAAGAAAGGCATGTGAAGACGCAGTGAGAAGGAAACTGTCTGCACCTTGATCTTGGACTTCCAACCTCCAGAACTATAAAAAACTAAATTCTGTTGTTTAAGGTACCCACTCTGTGGCAGCTTGATATTGTAGCTTTAGAAGACTAATAACATTTATCTACAATCATTATGATCATTATAGTAGATTGACACTCAGAGCTCTTCCAACCTCTTTCCAGTGTGTCTTCCTACACTGCCAGAGAGCTTAAAATGTTCTCTTCCAGTCTTCAAATGTGCATTAGATTCCCCAATTAGATAAGCACATGAGAGATGTGGCAGGTGGAGTGAGGTAGGGACCATGTTTAGTTGCCACTGGTGTTGTTGGAACAAGCAGTCACAGAGTGGCTGGGTTTTTCTGCATTTTAGTATTCAGTCCCTCGCTCTGAGGGCATTGAGAGGCAGTTGGTGTAGTCAAGGAAGCCTCTTGATCACTGGATGGCACCCAAGGCAGGGAATCCTCAAACACAACAGTTCCTGATGGTGGTCTTCTGTTCCCTGCACCCCGCCTCCCACTGTGGTGGTAACAGCAGCTGACTTGGTGGGCCACCTTGGCAGTATTGTTTGGAGAGTTTTGTGGGAGATGAGGTCTAGAACCTGCTCCTAAAGCTTTCTAAATATTTTGTAAATATTTAATGGCCCTTACCAAATCTTTTTTCTGTTATTTTAAGTGCATTATGATTATACATAATAGTGGGATTCATTTGAACATATTCATAAATGCATATAACATTGTTTTTTTCCATTGCAATCCCCAGTATTATACTCTTCTCTCTTCTGCTCCCTCCCCTGAATCCCTTTCTAGAGTGATTCTGTTTATTTTGAGCTGAATCCTAACTGACACATTTTTCTCTGTGTCTTTAGCATCTTTATCACAATGCCTGGCATATGTGAGAGATGAAAAAATGTTTATTGTTAATGTTTAAGCCAGTGGTTTTCAAACTTGGATATGCATTAATATCATCTAGAAAACTATTAGAGAATTTGAAGTCCCAGGTTCATAGAAATAGACTAGGGCCCTAATCTTTGTATTTTCATTAAGTTCTCTCAATGATTCTAATACTCACCCAAGTTTGAGAAGTACTGTTTCAAACATTTATGAGGCCTACTGCTTTTAAGCTCTTTCTGCTCCATGTCTTATTTAATTTTCATTAAGGCAGAAAGCATTATTATTCCCGTATGATAGATAATAAAATTGAGGCATACTGAGCCTATAAAAGTACCCAGGATCACACAACTGGTAAAATTCTTATATCTAATCTATGTCTACCTGAACATGAGTCCCAACCTCATGACCATGTACTCTTCTGTTTGGATGATCTCTCCTCTTTGCAAGAGCCTAAAGACAATATCTTTTAAATTTAAATCAGATTCCTCAAAATATATAATTTTTTATTTAACAATACCTCAGTCTTTCTAGATAGATTACTACCCCCCCCCCCAAAAAATGGACTCCTAACTATCTTTCCACGGAAACAATGGTCTTTTTGGTAAGTGATGACATACTTCAGAGTCTAAGAAGACTTATTTAAATCAGGGAACAGACTGAGGAAATAATTGCTTTCAGATATGAAACTAATAACTCCCTGAATCTTACTGTTATCTTTGAGATGAGGAATACCAAACCGACCCTAAGGTCTATCCATTTATTAGAGAAAACATTATGCATTTTCAAGAAGAAAAGATCAAAAATAGTATTATTTAGCTGCAGGACTCCACATTCTTTTTTCTTACTAATTATGTTTCTTACATTTTCCAGATTGCATCTCTAAGTTTAATAAAATCTTATTATTCTTCTAATACCTAGAAATTAATAATATAGAGGAAGGTTTTAGATGTCCAGATGAACTTCTTCCAGAGATGTGCAAAAATGCACAATGAATAAAAAGAAACGGTCTCTTCTTTTATCCTTTGTAAGCTTTTTTTTTTTTTTTTTTACTCAATAGAAGTCCCCCAATTTAATATTATCATTCTAGGAGGGAAGATTTCTGGAGTTGCCATTTTTATTACTAGTTGGGCTCATTGAAGAAAAGTGAGACCTGACATTTTTGTACATACTTCTAAATTGAATTGACATGTAATAATTGTATATTTTTATGAGACACAGTGTGATATGTCAATACATGTATACAATGTAGGTGTTTTAGGTAATTGGTAGATACATCACCTCCAACATTTTTCATCTCTTTGGGTTGAGAACTTCATTTAAAACGTATAATTAATTTATTATTATTATTATTGATTTTTTATTTGTTTTAATTAGTTATACATGACAGTAGCATTTATGCAGTTTGATATGTCATATATATATGGGGTATAATTACTCATTTTTCTGATTGTACATGTGGTAGAATCATATTGGTCATGCAATCATATATGTTCATAAGGTAATAATATCAGATTAATTCTTCTATCCTTTCTATTCCCCTATCCCATTCCCTCCCTTCAATCCCCTCTACCTAATCTAAAGTAACTCTATCCACCCCTGCCACACACACACACATCCCTTATTGTGAATTAGCATCTGCATATCAGAGAAAATATTCAGCCTTTGGTTTTGAGGATTGGCTTATTTCACTTAGCATGATTTTCTCCAGTTCCATATATTACTGGCAAATGCCATAATTTCATTTTTCTTTAAAGCTGAATATAATATTCTATTGAATATATGTACCAGTTATTCCACTGTGCTATAAACATCAGGCATGATTCCTCCTGTCAAATTGCAATCTTGAACATGCTAACCATCCTCCCTACTAGACCTAAGCATTTTTGAGGCAAAATAAAGAAATGTGAGCAAGTTGGGTTCAGATAACAGCTGTATTATTCTAAACTTTATTGTGACTTTTGACAAATTATCTAACTTCAAATGTTTTATAGGCTTCCTAGCCTATAAAAATTAGAGAAAATAATGATGCGGCATTCCAAGGGTTAAATAAGATAATATTAGTTTCTTTCCCTTCATGTTGAATCTCCGAAGTCCTAGAACTAAAAAAAGAAAAGAAAAGAAACAAGACAACAATCTACACACACCAAATGAACTTTGTTGAGTAGTGGAAAATTATGAGGGAAATTATCAGAAAACTAGGATAAGAGCTTGGAACCCCGCCTCCGTCATCTTGTGTGATGACTTGCAACAATTCTCTTAATTATACTCTTGGAAACAACAAATTCCACTGTTCTCAAAAGGAAAAGAAATGAAAGCTTTGGTTTGCCAAGTTTGTTCTGACAGTTAATGTTTCAGGAATGTAGAAACAATTCTTAAAATTTACAAACAATTTCACACCTTTACTCATACCCTGAAAACCAGCCCCATTTTCTCTTCTCTTTCTTTATTTGTATTGTCAAGTGAAGTGGGCCAGCAAGTGAGTCAATTGAAATGGAAACATTTATTTATCTGATGTAATGAGTCAATGATGCCCTTTAAAATTGTTTCCAGTATGTTTTGAAATTAAGTAACATCACTAAAAAATGCTCTGACTAAAACACTCGGGGTGAATCATAGCTATGCCTCTTGTATCCGCCAGGGACTGAAATTTGATTTTTGCCACATTTTCTTTTCCTTAACAGAAATCCAAAGTGCTATTTGACATTTATTTAATTCCATGTTTAGTTTCATGAATCAAACTTCTAAAATTTATTTATTTATTGTGTATAATTTACTATTTAATATAATTAATTTATTTATTATCATTAATGTATTATTCACTTATCTATTTCTTTATTTATGGGATCTGGAGAGCATCTCATATCTCAATAGATAGAGACCAAGCATAATGGACCCAGGTGCTTACCAGGGTCATCTTGGAAGGGGCCCTGGACACAGCTGTAGTTAGTCTCCAAGAATGCAGTCCAGTGCAGTGGAGAAACCAAGGACAGTAGAACAATACTTCAGGATAAAGAGCCAGAGAGCCCTGTAAAACAGAAAGTCAGCATAGATGTGTCATAGGATGTCAGGAAGATAGATGGATCAAAGTAGATAAGACTCTGAGGAAACTGTGACTAGGACAAGGCCAGTTCAAGAGCTATGTCAAGAGCTGTGTCATAGCCATCTTGTGATGTTCATATTGTGTTAACTTGGCTAGTCTATGGCACCTAGTTGTCTGGTTGAATACCAATCCAGATGTTGCTATCAAAGTATTTGGTAGATGTGATGTGTTTAATCAGCTGACTTTAAGTAAAACAGATTACAGTGTGGGTGGGCCTCATCCAAGCAGTGGAAGGCTTTAACAGCAAAACTGAGATTTCCTAAAGTTTTCTGCCTCAAAGAATTTCTTTTATCAAAGAAATTCTGCCTGACAGCCTATGGATTTCAGACCCAAGATGGAGATATCAACTATTACCTGAAGAATTGTTGGTTTGCTCTATATATTTCAGGCTTGCCAGTTCCCACAATTCTCCTTTTTCCTCCCCACTTTATTTGTACGTCCCCCATTGGTTCTGTTCTTCTGGGGAACCTAGACTGATACATCACTCTTGGCATTCTTCTTTTCCAGTGTGAAGTTTGGAAGACTCAGTTGAGTTGGAGAGTCATGTTTAAGGCTGCAAGAACACAGCCAAACAGTGCCCCCTGGAGAACATTTGAAATGGTTGGGATTTCCCTCAACCAGCGCTTACTGCCTTCTGGGAACCTTATTAGGTACTAGACACAGGTTGGATTCTCCAGAAGCACATGCTGACATAACAACTTGAGCCTGAAAGTATATTGGAAAGTGATTCCAGTAGTAAAGACATGGGGGAAGTGAGGGGCTGGGGTTGTGGCTCAGTGGTAGACTGCTTGCCTAAGCATGTGAGAGGCCCTGGGTTTGATTCTCAGCACCACATACAAATAAATTAAATAAAGGTCCATTGACAACTCAAAAATATTTAAAAAAAAAAAAAAGAAATGGGGGAAGTGAGACAGGGAAGGGAGGGGAAGGAAGATAAAACAGGATAGGTCAATGAGTAGGGCCTGGCTCAGGTGGGCCATGGAGTGCAATGTCACTTTGACTTCTGGGAGACTATCCATGGAGCATGCTTTTGGGTGACAGGAAGAATGCTGAAAACCAAGGATAGAACTAGTGTGTGAATTTTCTGGATGTTGCAATATTCAAACATTTTTATATTACAGTGAACACAGACATATTTTGGAATCTATACATAAAGTTTCATGGATTTTTGATATAAAGCATGAGAACACAAGATAAATCTGAGCTAAGAACCATTGTTTTGGTGCAGTCTTTGTATTTCTCCCCTCTTTCTCCTTTGTATGAAACATGTAATTCCATTTTCCACTTGAGAGGCTTCTCCTGCCAAGATGCCTACTTTGTTTCAGAGTCCATGGCTCCGATCCTTTCACAGCAGAGGGCTTGTCCAGGCTTATCTGTTTCCAGTCCTGGATCAGACTCTTGGCTCCTGCCCTGGGATCCCTCCTGTAAATGCGATCAGCTGTGAGTCTGCTGCTTCTGCTTTGGAGTTGTATGCTCTGATCGCACACAGGTTCCACTCCCATATAACTGGACCTCTGGCATTTCTAGGTCTGTAACTTAATTCTAATTCTTCATCTGCTTCTATGTGGACAGCTTGTTAACTCCCCTAATGGATAAGAACAGACCCAACTGGAATCTTCAACTTGCTCGCAAGTATTAATATCACAGCTGTCCTACATATGCTTGTCTGCCTTCAAGACAACTGGAATAAAAAAAAAAAAGATGGTCAATGGCATGTCAGTTTCTCAGAAAACCACAGAGAAGTGCCCATATAAAATAAGAGAGATCCACTAAAAAGTAAACATCTGAAGTGAAAATGTGTGTGTGGTATGTGTGTGTGTTGGATGTAGTTTGGAGAAGGTAAGTAAGCAGAGCTGTCATCATAAAATGGAGGAGAAAATGAGCCAAGTGAATCCAACTCTACCGTCACCCAAAACCTGCAGGAAGTACATGGAGAAACTAGAATGTCACTTTTTACCACTCTTTTGCCCCAAATAGTATGAGACTATGTTCAGTGTTCATCCCTGTTTGTACATCCAAACAGAATAACCTAGAATTATAGGAGAGTGACCTCTAAGGAGAAGAAGGCCTCAGTTGAGAGTAATTTATGAACAAACTGTTCTCTTCCCAAGTTACAGATTTTTGTATTTTTTAAAGATTTATTTCTTAGTTTTGGGTGGACACAGTACCTTTATTTTATATTTATGTGGTGCTGAGGATTGAACCCAGTGCCTCAAGCATGCTAGGTGAGCACTCTACCACTGAACCACACCCCCAGCCCCTGTCTTTTTTTTTTTAAATAACATTTGCAAATGTTCTGCTCTTGTCATATAATCTTAGACCTTAGTTTGTAAGGTCTTATTTGTTTTTAGTTTTTAAAATGTCACCAGGATACTGAGAAAAATGTCACATAGATAAGAAATATAATATATATTTGGGATCTGGTCTGAGCATAGCCATCTGTGTGTGTACAGTACATAATCTGGATATTGTTGAACTCTGAGTAGTTTATTTGTAGTCTGATTGAATCACATGTCAGTGAGGGATGCTCATACCCAAGTGCTCCTATCACAGCACCATCATACACTGGTGTTATTTGGACTAAAGCACACCACAAAGCAGAGTCAACCCAGAATTGAGGAAAAAAAACACCAGATCATCTTTCCAGACTCCTGTGGAGCTAGGGTGGCCACGTGACAAGCCTTAGGTGATAACATAGTGGCAAAGTCTTCCTGGGAGCTTCTCGAGACAATATCCTTTCCTCAAAATAGGACATATACAGTCATTGAGAAAACCTTTGTTGTGTCCCCTTCTTTCCTGCCTCTCAAGGCAGCAGTAGGAGGATGCATAGTTGGAGCTGAAGTACCGTCTTGCAACTGAGGCAGTCAGCTGGAAGGGCATGCCGATATGCGGAGGTTAGAAGACTGGAAATGAGGAGGAACACTTAGGTTCTTGATAACGTTGTTAATATGCTGAACCAACCATGGGCTCTCTTCCAGACTTGTTGGTAAAATAAACGTCCTATGATTTAAACCACTGAAGTTGGGTTTTCTCCTGTTTTATATTTAGCATAGTGTCAACACAGTCCCTGAGATTACTTATGGAGCCAGCAGCCCAGTCCTCTTCGTCCATATACAATTGCCTGGGGACAATGAGAGAGTAGAGAATAAGATGGCTTGATACTCAATCTGAGCTCAGAAATAAGGTCAGACTCCCTTTGTAAGAATCAGACAGGATTTCCATGATTTTTCGTGAGGCCTTTGTAAACCCTGGGACTCAAGCATCTTTGGAGTTTTGCTGTTTTGACAGCACCAAGAAACAGCACCTTGGACAGTGACTTTAGATTATCAAGCATTGCTGAGGTAGGAAGAACAGAAGGTCATGTGTAGACTTTTTCCTGAACCCTCGTGTATTACTTGGGGAGGACTTCCAGAAGTAACAAGAAGAGCCTTTGAAAAGCACTAAGATCGTGGGCCAGCATGTATGAGCAAACTGCACAGTGACAGGTAATGGATATCATTATAAGCTCATTTGTTTCCAGACAATGAGGTCTGTGACCTTGAGAACACACTCAATGCATATAATAGTTTTTATTTATGTTAAGTAAATTTATGACAACATGCAACTCAGTTTATTCTATTGACAGAGCATGCTAAAATCAGTATCTCCTTCTAAAATAACTGAAAATATTTTTCACTGTACACGGTAGGGTTTATGCAAGCCACACTTGTGTGAATAAATTAAGAATATATCATAGGCTATAGCTGAAGTGTACCTTGCTTTTATGACAGACTGGGCATTTGTGTTAATCAGGGTGTTTCTGATGTGGTCCACATCCTTGTCATAGAATGCTATTAAGAAGTGGTTTTCAAATGCATTCTCTGCCCACTTCTGGGGAGATTTGACACAGCATTATATGTAAAATTGATCAAGGTAGAGTAGGTCTGAGAGAGGCAGGATTGGGCTCAGATCCCCACACTGGTTGGCCCCAAAGTATTTCTGTTGTAAATTTGAGTGCAGTTTGAGCAGTTGTACCTCTGCATTTATTTTTCTTTTTTCTCTATACAGTTGTAACTACTCAGGTGAGATTGGAACCCATTTGCTATTCATCTTCTAGGTTGAGTTATGTTTTACTCTGAAATATCAGAAATGAATGGCTTTTCTCAAACTTCACTCACTCTGGGTACAATAAGGATTTACATGACAAAGTCCCCCTCGGTGGGATGAAGATGGGATTCTTCCCCTTCAATTTCTTATAGAACAATGACTTTAAAGTAATAGAATTTCCATATACACAGGTGGAGACTCAAGAAGTTACACCACCCCTTTGGGACTGAGAATTCCTTGATTGAAGAGACCATTTTTTACTCTTCTTTGTATTCTCTGCCATTCCTAGCCTGGAACAAGTGTTCTGAAAGGTCTTGTCAAATTGAATTGTAGAAAGAGAAGCCATTCTAGAATTGAATTATACTTCAACACACCTGTTTCTGTGTACGTAAGTAATATTTTTTGAACATGAGGATTGAAGCTTTTTTTTAATTTGAATATGCCTTCAGAATGAAATCTAAACTTCTTAGTTGCTTTAAGGTTACAAATTATTCTGTTTTTTAAAAAAATGATCTTAAGCCTCTATCTGTGCGTGATATAGTTCTGGGAATTTTCAATGTATTGCTATGTTTATTTAGTCACTACCCATTCCTTATAAATACCACTGGGCATATTTTTTTTTACTTAATTATCTCAGTTTCAATATTTAATTTATTACTATTTATTAATATTTTAATACTAGGTATATTTGATCTTTATAACTTCCTTCAGGCTTTCTACCCTCCTGCTGCAGATGAGAAAGGTCAAACTCTGGTGGGTGAAGAGACTCATGAAATTCCTAGGGTATACACTAGGAAGAGAGCTAGAAACTTATCTGATTCCCAGTACTGTGGTTTTCTTCTTGTCCTCTTTATGCTCTATGACCTTTTTAATTTAACTGAACACCTTTATCTCTTTACATATCACCCCCATCTCTAAAGAACTTTTACCATAGTTGTCTTCCTATCTTCTCTCCTCTCCTTCTCTCCTCTTCCTTCTCCTCTACTTGATTTTTTGTCTTTTCTCCTCTCTCCCTCTCCCTCTCTTTCTCTCTCCTCTTTCTTTCAAGTGAGAATTGTATTGAGATTCATAGATGGGTGGGGTATTGCCTTGGAGGGAGTCCAAAGAGCTAAGATGATCTACTCATTTATGGAATTGTAAAATTCTGAGTTGGGGGAGAATATTTTGTGAAGAAACAGTATGTTTTGTAGAGTTGGTCATTAATTGCCTTTACACATTTTCTTTCCTGTTTACCTCTTTCCAAAGTTAGCTTAATAAACAAATTTATCCAAATGGGATTAGTTGAATCACTTACTTCTAGTTCTAAAAGTTTTTTCAATATATTTCCTTGAAGATAAGGATCATATTTAAAGCGGGGCGCAGTGCGCAAGCCTGAAATTCAAGCGGCTCAGGAGGCTGAGGCAGGAGGATCACAAGTTTGAAGCCAGCCTCAGCAATTTAGGGAGACCCTAAGCAACTCAGCCAGACCTTGTCTCTAAATAAAAATATTTTAAAAAAAGGGCTGGGGATGTGGCTCAGTTTAATTATCCAGTACCCCCCCACACACCCCCAAAGAATTATATTTCATCAAATCTTTGTGGTTGGATAATTTCTTATAAGAAATAATAAGTTGAAAGCTGAATGAATTGTGAATAAATGATCGAATTAATGAATACACAGAAGAGGAGGAACTTAGATGGTAAATTCCACCAAGATGACCGTCTGATTCATCCTTGAGTTGATGATACTTTGTAGAAAACCTACATATATATGTATGTATATGTATATGTGTGAGAGTATATATATATACACACACAGTTAGTTAGTTAGTTAGTTTTAGCTGTTAGATGAGAAGAGACTGTCTACTTACTCCTAGCATATAACTAGGGAATAGGTTTGGAATGCTAGGAATAATATATAACTAGGGAATAGAAAGAGAAGAAAATGAAATAATATCGTGTGCTCCCTACAGTCTAGGTGCCTTCAGGGTTTTACCTCAGGTAATCGTCACAGGATCCTGTGAGTTGGCTCATTTTACAGGGGAGGAACCTGGGATCTCCAGCGCACACCCCGTCAGACCCTGGGAAGTCCAGCGGGTGGTTTGCCCTATGGTTGCATTCACAGCGCTGCGGAAACTGAGAAGCGGCCGAGCCATGATCCTATAGTAAAACAAACACACATCTCTCTCGGTTCCCCCTTCCGCTTCCGAGACGTCGTAGCTCGGGAGGCCAGGGCTTCTAATGTCGCCTTTCAAGCACAGACCAGGCCAGAACAATGAGGTGAAAGTTACAGCCTTTCCCTGGTCCTTTTCAGCCGGCGGAACCCAGGTGCTGGGGGTTTCAGGCGCGGAGGGGACCCGAGAGGCACGGACACACGGCCCGGCAGTTGCCTGGTAACGCCCGCTGGAGGAGTCCCAGCGTAATTAGGTCCCAGAGAAGTATCCCCGGCCCTGAGCGCGACCCGGCGGCGCGTTCTCTCGGTGCCCGTGGTCAGTCCCCGCGGCTTGGCGGGCGAGGGCAGGGGAAATGTTGCAGGAAGAGTCGGATCTGTCCCTCATTATTGCCCAGATAGTCCAAAAGCTTAAGGGCTCCAATCTGTACGCTCAGCTGGAACGGCAGGCCTGGGTAAGTGGGGCCGAGGGGGAGGCTGGGGCCGGGCCGGGCGCGGGGCCGCCGGTCCCCTGGGCGCTCGCCTCACCCAACTCACCCAAGTCGGGTTTCGCCTCTGCTCTCCCCCGCTGGACTCTAAAATCTCCTCTATCCGGGCTCAGCGCAGGCGTGGGATGGAGATTTCAAAAAGAAGGGTGGGGCGCATCACGCCTTTCTTCAGGCCCGAGAAGAGCCGAGGCTGCTCATTCACTAATCTATTCTCGTCTAATTCATTCAGCTGTTTATTAAAAGTGGCCTGGACCATGGCTTCCCTCACTTTTTTTTTTTTTTGCCTTGTGGGTGGATTTGGGACCTAGGTGCTTTCCCCTCACCCGGTCTCTGTATACTTTGTTGCCCTTTATCTTCTCTGCAGTGATTTCCCCCCTTTTAGTCCACCCAGCCTTTATTAATTTGTAATGCAGTAGGCTCTGTGAATGCATAGATTAAGAGACCTTCGCTTTTCATTGTTGTTGTTGTGTCATGTAAATGGAATCATAGACTATGTAAATTGTTTGTGCATGCCTTTGGTCATTTAGCATAAGGCTTTTGAGATTCATGCATGCAGTTGATATTTCAGTAGTTTTGTTCTTTTTTTTATTACTGAGTAATATTTCCTTGTTTGGATATCCCATGGTATTTGGGTGGATTACTGATTAAAGGTAAAGTTGATATATACATTCTAGAATAGCTTTTTGCTTAGATATTTTTTTCTTTTTTCAAATACCTAAGAATGGAATTGCTGAGTCTTAATGGCCTCTGAGCTTTTCCTAAATAGCACTTTACATTCTCATCAGCAGTTATGAAAATTGCAACTGTTCAGCATCTTTAATAGCAAGCGATGATGGCTTTTTATTTATTACTTTTGATTAATTCATTTTATTTATTACACTCCTCTAGTAGAAGCATAGTGGTATTTCCCTAGTTAAAAATGACATTAAACCTTTCTCATGTGCTTGTATCTTCTGTGGTGAAATTGCTTGTATCTTCTGTGGTGAAATAGTCTTTTCAAATCTTTTGCCCATTTAACGTTTGTGGGTTTTTTTTTTTTTATTGTTGAGTTGTAAGGATTCTTTTTGTTGTTGTTGTTTAATTTTTTAAAATTGTCAATGGACTTTTACTTTTATTTATTTATATGTGGTGCTGCGAATTGAACCCAGTGCCTCACACATGCTAGGTAAGGTCTACCACTGATACACAACCCCAGCCCAAGGATTCTTTATATATGATACAAGTCTTTCATCAGATATGCATCTTGCAAATATTTTCTCCTAGTCTGCACTTTGTATTTTCAGCTTCTTAACTGGAAATTTCAAAGAGCAAAATTTGATAACATAAATTTTTAACCATTTCTTATGATTTATGCTTTTAGTGCCCTGAAAGTCTTTGCCTAATGCAGAGCCTCAATTTTTTAGTGTTTGTTTTTAATAGTTTAATAATTTTGGCTTTTATGTTTAGGTCTGTGATGCATTTTCAGTTAATTTTTTTTTAAAAAACTGCAAGGTAAAGCCTCCCTGCTTTTTTATTCTGAATGAACGTCCAGTATTTCCAGTACCCATTTGTTTATAAGCCTAGCATTTCTCCATTGATCTCCTTGGCAACTTTGTTAAAAATCAATTGTGTCTAGTGCTTTCTTTATTCTGTTCCATTGATCCGTTTGTGTATTATTATGCCAGTACTATGCTATCTTGAGTTTTGTAACTTTATAGTAAGCTTTCAAATCAGGTCCTCCAACATTGTTTCTCTTTTTCAAAATAGTTTCTAAAATTTATATGGCAAAGTAAAGGACTTTAGAATCAACTTTTAAATTACTACAATGCTCTTTTAAGATTTGGATTGAGATTATGTTGAGTCTGTAGATTAATTTGGGGAGAATTAAAATCAAACACGATATTGAGTTTTCTAGTTCATGAACATAGTTTATTTTTTCATATTTATATATAATCTTTATTTTCTCTTGTCAGAGTTTTGTAGTTCTAGTATACATATTTTATATACTTTTTATTTAGATTTTTCTCTAAGTATATCATGTTTCTGATACTATTTTAAGTAATAAGTTTATCATTTCAATTACCAGTTGTTTATTGTTAGTATACTATAATATAATTGATATTGGTCTATTTACTAAGTGCTTAATAAAAGACTGAGACCTTGCTGAACTTACTCGTTAGTTATAGCACACTTTTCATAGTTTAGGTAGGATTTTCCAGATACATGTATCGTGTGCAAATAAAGACAGTTTTGCTATCTTTTCTATCTGTATGCCTTTTATTTCTTTTTCTTACTGTAATTGTGCTACATAACAACTCCAGTGCAATGTTGTATAGATGCTTTTTATCAAGTTGAGCAAGCTATCTTCTGTTCCTGGTTTTCTGAGAATTTTATTATGAATGAGTGATAAATTTTGTTAAATATGTTTCTTGCATGTGTAGAGATGCTTATGTGATTTTTTTTTTCCTTTCAGTATGTTGGTAAGGTGAATAATTTTGACTGACTTTGAATATTTCACCAATTTTGCATTCTGAGATAAATTGCACTTTGATATGATGATTCAGTTTGCTGATGTTTTGCTAAATATTTTGTGGTTTTATTCATTAAATATATTGGTAGTTTTCTTGTAGTGTTTTTATCTTGTTTTGATATTGGGTAATGCTGATCTTATAAAATAAGTCGGAAGTATTTTCTTCTCTCTTACTTTTTGGAAGAATTTGTGAAGCATTACCTTTATTTCCTCTTAAAGTGTCTTATAGAATTCCCAATGAAATTACAGGGATTGGGAGTTGTGTTTTTTTTTTTCCCAAAAAAATGTTTTTAATAAAAAATTCAATATAAAAATATATGTTGGACTAATTAGGTTATGTGTTTCTTCTTGTAAGATTTAGTAGTTCTTAATGTTTCAAAAGTTGTTCTTGTAGAAGTAGAGAGTAGAATAGTGGTTACCAGAGGCTGGGAAGGGAGGGGGATGAGTGGGGTTCACTAAAAGGCATAAAAATGCAGTTGGATAGGAGGGTTCAACTCCAGTGTTCTGGGCTGCCTGTGGTTAACAAGGATTATCCAAAATGGTTAGAAGAGAGGATTTTGTATGTTTGAACAGAAATGATAAATGTTTTGAGGAGATGGATACAGTTATCTTGATTTGATCATTCCATATTGTATACACGTGTCAAAACATCACAGCATATCTCATGAATATGTACATTTATGTGTCAGTTAAAAATAAAAAATAAAAGGTGGTACTTAGTCTACATTATCAAATTTATTCACACGAAGTTGTTTATATCCCTTTATTTCCCTTTGAGTGATAGCTCCTCTTTTATCCTTGATATTATAATGGTATTTTATCTTTTTTTCTTAATTAGCCTGCCTAGCAAGTTTTATTGGTGTTTTCAAAGAGGTAGCTGTTGTCTTCATTGTTTTCCTGTTTTCAGTCTTTTAGTTTTTTTAACTTATTATGGTGTTCTGCTTGCTTTGGGTTTAATTGCTCTTTTCCTAGCCACTTAAGTGGAAATTTGTATTATTGATTTGATACTCTTCTTCTGATATAAAACTGTAAATTTTCCTCTATGTTTTAGCTGAATTAAGATATATTCTATTGCATTTTCACTTAAAAAATTCTGCTGTGACTTTAACTTTGATTCACAGCTGTCTAGAAAAGCATTGTTTAATTTTTAAATTTTAGGGGATTTTTACTGATACCTTCCTCTGATTTCTGGTTTAACAATATGTGCATGTTTTCAGTTCTTACAAATTTGTTAAAGTTCTGTTTATAATAGAATAAATTCTATTTTGTTGAATGTTTCACGTACCCTCGAGAAGCACTTTCATTCTGCTGTTGCTGTTTTATAAATTCAATTAGGTCAGGTACTAAAATTGATAATTTTGTTGAAGGTACTTTTCTATAAATGTCAATTAGGCCAAGGATCTAAGATGGGAAATTTTGTTCAAGAATTCTCCATGTTTACTGAGGCTGGGGCTTCAGACAGTATAGTCAGGAGTCAGGCTAGGTTTGGGTTTTATTGTCATTACTCTCAGTGTGCCACAGGTTTCAAATTCCTTCAGTGGTGGGCTTGTGTTACCTTTTATTTGGAATAGGTATTGGGGAATGGGTGAGTGTGTCTCAGTATTTGTGTGTTATCCTCACCTTTCATTCATCTCTGCTTGCCTGTTACTTAGAGGGAGATCTCTCCCCATGCCTTTGTTCTTCCCCCAGCGGGGCTTGATTCTTTATTCTCTTGTCTCAGTCCGTGTGCTTTGTCCTGGGAGTGGATCTTCCTTACCTTTGGCATAACCAAACTGTGCCTTGTATCTGTGGCAGGTATTGGGTGAAAGAGAGACCTGCCCTTCCCTAGTGTTAATTTATTTCTGCTTTGTATTGATGTAGGATCCTGGGCCCAAGAGATTTTGCAACTATTTCACAGCATGAGAGGAAAGTTTGGTCAATAAAATAGTTTTATGCCTATTTTACACTGGCAGCCCAGCCCTTCTTACATATTTGTGCCACAAAAGTGTGCTGTCTTTGAATATTCCTGCTTTCCCACAATCTTTCATGAGTCTGGTGGAGACAAGTGGAAAAGAGCATCCAAATGAGCAAATTCTCTTCTGCTTTGTGAATTCTCCTAGCTACTCCAAACTGACATGCTGGCCCACACTCGGTGCGTGTGTAATAGGAACATTTTAGTTGATTTCTTCTTGCTCCCTTGTAGGGTAGCCCCCTTTTCCTTCTGTGCTCTGCCAAAGGTGAAATAGTCTGTAGTCCTGTCTGTCCTTTGAGGAGATTGTTATTCTTTGGAATTTAGTTCATTGGTTTTTTTTTTAATGGGTACAAAAGCTATGATTTTTGTTGATTATACTATTTTATCCTCATTGTTAAGACTGAGAGTAACATTCTCTTAGAATGGTTTTCTACAATGGAGTTAGCAGAATAATTTTAAGATTGCAGCTATGTCATGAGAAAGAAAAATTGGTGTGTGATCCTCTTT